AATACTACTATAATATAATCCTTATTTTCAAATATTATCAAAAAAAAATTTATTTAAATATTTTAAATTTTAAAAAAAATAAATCATAAGCAAATTTATAGCAATTTTCCAGACAAATTTGCCTGGAATTGCTTACAGTTTAAGAGATAGCTATTTTTATAAAAAATTATTTGAAAAAATTACAAATAAGAGCCCAAAACTAAAAATAATTACAAATAAGAGCCCAAAATGAAAATAATTACAAATAAAGGCCTGATTTTTGAAAATTATTGCAAATAAGAGCCCAAATATATTGCTAGCTAAAAAAACTATTTAAACATAATAGCATTATGATTAATTAGACATTTTAAAATTTCATTATATCGAATTCATTAAAAAATAAATAAATTGTATTATCAGCACAATTTTGAATATTATTATACAAGCTTAATTACATGTTATAGAAACTATTTATTATTAAATAATATATATACTATATATTTTTTATTTCTAAGTCTTCAACTATATGTACATGAATTATGATCTTTTTATTATATTTTTCATAATCTGATTTTCTGGTACTGTTTTTCCACAACTATATAACTAAGATTTATAACTATCCTGTTTGTTTAATTTTAGTTAGCAGCAAAGTTTCATTATTAAAAATATATAATTTTGTATTAACTAGTTAATGATTTTATAAAAGTTTAACAAGTTAGATTATAAAAAATCAACTTTATTATATAATAAAACTACCTTTGTGCTTGTTATCTGTAACAGTAAAAGAGTATGAACTATTTTTATTTATAGAACAAACAGCAAGTAGCTTGTTTGGTTTGTTATTTCTAAATTTATAAAGTGAAGAGAATTTGACAAAGTAATTGTTCAAGGCTAAGCAAATATTTTTCATATTAGTAAAAGTATTGCTGATTTGTAATATATCTAACATGGTAATTGTTTTAAGCAGGTTTTTTAAAGATATACAATCAACTCTCTCTTATTTGAATAGCCCATTTTTGGGTTTTTAGTTCAGTTCTCAAAGAGTTATTATAAGCTTATCTGAACTCTATAATAAAATTTATAAATATTTTGAGTTTTCAATTCGATTAAGAGAGAGTTTGGTTTAGAGAAGTTTGGTTAAGAAAAAGTTGACTATATTTAGTAAATTATCGCTGTTTTTGTAATAGTTGAAAATAGCAATATTTACAAAAAAAAATTTTTTTGTAAATACTTGAATACTCAATTAGTTTAGAATATTGGTCATTATTGTAGATTAGTTTAGAGCATTGGTCATTATTGTGTAGATTGGAAATCGATCATTGATCAATGTTCTAAGCTAATTGAGTATTCGAGTATTCACAAAAAAAAATTTTTTTATAGATATTACTATTTTCAACTATTTCGAAAACAGCGATAAATAGATTAGAAAAAATATATATATTTTTTATTTTTCTTTTATTTTATTTTTTTTGACAATTATATCACAACTTTATTTTAATATAAAGTTTACATTTTCATTAAAATGTAATTTCTATTTATAGCTACACTATTTTTAAACCTAAACTCGGTTGCCTATAGCACTTATATGCAATCTACAAAGTAGAAATAGCCTCTCTGCTTCTTTTTTATCTACTGCAGATATTGAATACACAGTTCATTGACCAAAATCTACAGCCTATCATGATCTATTTAAGTTTTATTCCAACTAGACCACTTGCCGGTCCATATCTATCTATTTACTTCTTCTAGTATTATATCTAGTCCTTCTTTAAACTTATTCTACTACTTTGATCTATTCCTTTTTCTTCTATCTTTCTTTACACTAGTAGACAGTGGATCTTCTAATTAGAGGTCGAAACCGGTTGTAAATTTAAGAACCGAATTGGTTGCACATGATTTAAAACCGGTTTCTTTTTTAAGCAAAACTAGGTGGTGTTTAAACCGAATCATAATCAGGTTGTATAACTAAAAATCTTCGAAATTCAAATATTATATTTTTTTTAATAAATCCACATATTTTTATATATAAAAAAATAAATTTACATATATATGTTTGTATAGTATTTAATAAGCGAATAAGGAAATCAACTCTTCCCAACGATTATTTTTACTACAAAAAAAAATCCAAAATTCTTAAAAAACTAGTGTCCATAAAGGTTAAAACAGTTAGGGAAGTAGTCCTTAAGCTCCATAACTTGGCAGTTGTTATTTAAAGATAGTTCTTATATGCTACCTGCTAACTTCCTCAGAGTTTATCACTCATCACAAGGGCTGGCACTTGTTATTTAGAAATAGTTCTCATATGCTATTTGCCGACAAGCCCAGAGTTTATCACTTACCTGAAAAATAAGGAGAGTACCTGCGCCTTTCTATAGATACAGTGTGTTGAGTAAAGAAAATACACACTCTTTTACTAAACAAAACAAAGTGGTTTCATCTCTTTTCTCTGCCTCCTTGCTGCTCTTCTAAAATTTTCCACAAAAGTGGGCAAAACGGTTTATCCCCTTCAAAAGATCAGCATTGTTTACACCTTCCAAATCTGGACAGTTCTGGAAGACTGTGATCACGTGTCTAGTTTGTTTTGTTTATAGACCGTGCTGCTTCATGTAATACCGAGATTGGCCACTTACGTCGTTTAGGAGTTCAGATAATCTAGTCAGAAAATTTACTTGATAAGACGAAGCTTTACACTAGAGATATACAAATATCATATTTGTTATATAATTTTTTCAGCCTAGCATGGGTAGTAGTGCTAAAAAAGACAAAATTTTCTGCTGTTCTTTTTGTTTTCTTTTTTTTGTCATTTTCTCTTTTATATTTCCTTTCGTATATGTTTTCTTTTTCTTTTATTTCTTTGTTTTTTCTTTTTCTCTTGTTTTTTTTGTCATATTTGTTTTCTTTGTATTTTTATTGTTTTATTTTCCCCATTTATTTTGCCTCTTTAAAGAAGGAAAAATGTTAAGAAAAAGGCAATCTTGACAAAGCTAGCAGTAAGCTTATAGTAATTCTTTCAGAGAGCTATCTAGCAAGTTAGATGCCGGAGATGAATGAATTATTGTTGCGGCAGATCGCACTTGGGCACCATTACGAGCAGCCAAGTAAGTCTTTATTGAAGAGTAGAAGGGTGGAGAACATTGAGTTTATTGCAGGCTTTTTGTTTCGAAACTATGTATTTAGATTATACACTCCTAATACAATAAAGGCAAGATTGCCAAAAGTTAAAAAAAATAATAATAATAAGCGAATAAGTATACATAATGCATTTTATTAAGGCATTTATTAATACCGGCATAAGCAAATTACATTTATTTATATATGCCAATGTGCAAAAATATTTAATAAGCGAATTGCTATTCTATTGCTATGAAAAAATTTTAATATACTTACTATTTCTTTTTAAAAATAGAACTTTATTTATCAAATCTGGTGCTAGCCGTGTTCTTTTTAATGTGATAAAATTACTAGCATCAGAAAATAATCTTTCGGATAGAATTGAAGAAGCTGGAATCGAAAGATATTTTCTAGCCAGCTATACAAAAATTGGCAATCTGGCTTTATGCAATTGCTACCATTTTACTGGGTCTTCATTGAGCCCAATACTATCCAAAGTTAAGTAACACATTACTTTATCTAATTCAATTAGATCTAATGCTTGTTGAGGTATTGTTTTAATTGACTAAAAAATTCATCATCATCATCGTGAATCATTGATGTTTTATTTTTTTTTTACTTTTTCATTTGAAAAATTATTTAAATTTAATAAGTTAATAGCTGTTTTCAACTCAATATAAGATTTTTCAAGTAATTTCTTCGTATATCTTAATTGTTCAGGTGCCCATTGGAAGGTTTTGAACCGTGAATCAAGAATAGATGCAGTTAAAGCCAAATCCGAAGATATAGTCCAAAGCTCATCCAAAGATAAAAAAATAGTAGTACAAATTTTTAGTATTAAACTATTAGGATCAATAGCAGGCAAGTATTCAATCGTATTATTATCAGAATTATTAGTCTGCTGCTTATTTTTTTGTCAATATTTTCTTTTTACTCCTATTCATTTTTTTCTTCTTCCCCTTTTCATATATTGATGATATTGTCTGTAGGCATATTGCCAATATTGACGGGCCCCACCACTTCGTATATTATTATTATTGCTAACAGAACTAAAACTATTATCAGTTAAATTAGTATCATTATTTTCATCAAATAAAGTATAACCATAAATTAAATTAAGATAAGATTGTTTTGTTTTTCCTTGATCAGATCGAGATGCAAATGACTTTTTTTAGTATTTTCATATATGGATAAATTATACTAAATGTCAGATATTTAGAACCTGAAATACGTCATGTAATTTTTTCAAAAAGAGCTAGCATATTTATTGTATTGTAAAGAAATCTAAATTTAATATTATATAATACAATATATAAGTAAGTATATATGAAAAAATAACTATTTAATATATAGTTTATAAGCAATACTTACTGCTTTTCATCTAAAGTAAGACATAATTGTTTAAGTTTTTCACCTTCTTTTTGTAATATACAATCAGAAGTTAAAAGCAAAGTATTTGAAACATGGTGCATAGCATTATAAAGTTCATAAATATGTTTCCAAGCATAAAATGTTGAATTCCAACATGTTTTTGTATCATCTAGAACTTCTAATGGGTTTATATTAACATGTTCAGCACTCAATTGAGATAAATTAAGCTTATTCTAAGCAAGTTGAAGTCTTTCTACTTGTTTGGGAAGTCTAAAAAAGGTTTGCAAGTTTTTTACCCATCGATGAATTTCTTTGCATTGCTTGAGTCCCTTTTGTACAGAAAGTTGCAATGTATGTGCAACACATAGTTGTCTAATAACATAGGAACAAAAGTTTTCTAAAAGTAGATTTATTTCTCAAATCATATTTGATCTGTTATCAGTTACTATAGCCAAGACTGAACTTTGTAAATCCTATCTTTGAATTACTTTATATAATTCGTAGCTAATGACTTCTCCAAAATGTAGATAGGACAAATACTCACATTTTAGAAGAACTTCACATTCAGATGTTAGCCAAGTAGCTATAATTCCAAGATATCTATATTGTAACTTTGCAGTCTATAAATCTGTAGTTAAATGTATTATCTCTGCACTTGTATTTAACATAATTTTCAATTAATTTTTATTTAATTGATATTTACGATGAATTATGTCTTTTGCTGTTTTTATACAGGGAAATTTGTATCCAGGTATACATGTTTTTATTAGATCTTGGAACGATTCATTCTCTAAAATATATAATGGTTATACAGTGTGGGACAGCAAAAAACATCCAACTTTTTTAAAAAAAGTGCCAAATTTGAAAATTTATAATGATTTTGATTGGCTAATTTTTGTTACACAAAAATTTGATTGGTTAAAAAATATAAAATTGATTATTTTTATATAATAAGTGCCAAATTTTGGTTTTTATATATAAATTTATAAAACTCTTTCCGTCTATCATCCGTACACAAATTTTCCCAGCTTAATTATTTTAAAAATATCCTATAACTTTATTTTCTACTAAGTTAACCTTAGTTTTG